ATTTTATTTTATCAAAGATAGCATTAGTATGTTAGTATAGTTAGATTATAATTAAAGGATTTGATGCTTCATCAGCTCAAAATTCTGATTTTTCACTCACCACACTTTAAGGTGTGACTACTAGACCATTGAGTTACACCCCAATGTCCTGGGAGTCAATCCTATTCAATGACAAAGATTTTTTATATTTTCTTTTTTATTATGAGAGTTGTATTATGAGAGTTGTATATAATTGCTTATTTCTTTTCAAGTTCAACTATTTCTTATAGGAGGTGCTAAATCCCCCATTATAGCACTTTTGGGGGTGTTAAATTTGTGCTCCCAAACATTTTTCTTCTTATAGTGATTGTTGGGCTTGATGGCTGATAGGTTTCTAGTTATGTATTGCTGGGCTTGATGGACTAGTTTGATATAATTTTTTTTTCATATTTGTAATTAATATCCTACCTACTGCTTGCCAAAAAAAAAAAAATCCAAAATATTATATTGAACCCCATTAGTGAAAACTTGGTCACCATAAAAAACATGATCAGTTAGTCACCAGACTCTATATTCCATCCAGTTGATTAGTTTTAACTTAAAGACCATGCAGCTCTCCAGACGAATTTAATCAATCATCAAAACATAAATGGTGTAACGCCCCGAAAATTAGGCAGCGTATATCAATTTATGCTACAAAACTCACCTGATAGACAAACACATATATATAGCTAATTATTCTATACATTCATTTTCATTAAATCTCAAATTCCAAATACATGCTATTCACATCTCAATGCCCTAGTTCCAATCCCAAGCATACATTTTACAACAAGTATGAAATGGAAGCCGAACAGATAATAAGTGCCCTACAGGCTTACAAATTTATCTATGAACATTCTTGGTTACACAAAATGGAATTTCAACTCAACGCAAATACAGCCCTGGGCTTACATTCAACAAATAACAATAAAACAAAAATAAAGCCTCAGCTCCGAGTCCTTCCAAGTCAATGCCTTGGCGGAGGCATAGTACCTGTACCTGAAATGGTTTCCCTTATAGGGTGAGCCACAGCCCAGTAGAGATATATTACACAACATATGGACCATGACAAGACTAAAAAGGAGTATGCTCATGCCATGCTCATGATAAAACAATTTATCTCTCTTTTTATAAAGCATGCAATGCTGAGATGCAACAATAGATACAAAATCATTTCTATTTTAAACCATATCTGTTACATGAATACATGTTCTGTGAATCTCTAGGTGAGTGTCTACAAGTAGGCCCTAATGCACTACCACTGTCATTTTTACCAGTAAACTGGAAATCTCGACACCTAACCGCGCGGTTCCACACCTCTTACCCAGATTCACCAACTATTAATCTTTTCACAAATAGTTACATTTCTTAACATTTCTAAAAAACAAATACATTTCCAAAGAAATGAATGCAATGCAATGTCCAATGCAACAAATGAGGAATATGGTTCAATTTACCTAAGTCTCATGCATTTCTACAACAATCATAACTATCCTTCACCGATAGCCCAAAACAGATATTTCTAAACAGATATTTAAACAATTAAATTTCAAAAATTCCGATAAATACAATCTATTCCACATCTCATCAAATATGAACAACTACACTAGTTTTCATATCACAATCACGTCCGGTAACCTCTCAAGGTCCATTTCTAACCGTGTCGATTTTATTCCAACAGATACATTAAGCAAAATAATACCGTTAATGCCCAAGGAAACATCATTTTCTTTCCAAACTCATTCTCCAAGAATTATTCAACTATGACATCCTATTTTGATTAAAAGCCCCAAAATTTAAACGCAATTCCTTTGTTTTCTTTAAAAATGCTCTTTTGGTCGCAAAACGATAAAAATTTCAAAACCGATCGAATCGAAATCCGTTTTTGTTCAAGTTTAAAACATAGCTCTTTCATAACCTTACAAACATATTCCAAGTTTACACTTTCGCAATTTGGGTGTCAACTCATTATTTTTCTAAAAATTTCTCTTTTAAGCAAATAAATCACAATTTTTTCAAAAATTCTAATTAAATTATATACAATTCTAAGCTCCATATAATCAAGTAAATGTACATAAAGAAGCGTAGGAAAAATCCATACCTCAAGCCAAGAAGCTTTCAAATTTTTTGGCAACAGAAATTAAATCTACTCGGAGCCAAATGGCGCCTTTTCCGCCTTGTACGTTTTTATCCAAAGCACTAGGGGTCAAAAATGACTTATATTAGATCAAACCCACGAAAAACCGACATTGGAACCCTTTTTTCTCTTTTTCTCTTCACGGCAAGAACCCAAAGTTGAAGAAAACATCCTATTTGGTCACTTATATATATTATAAACAAATATCTAACTATATATATACACCTATACATATATATATATATATATATATATCAATCAAAATAAATTTCAACATCTTTAATGACAAAAATAAATATAATATTTTCTCACCATAAAATATATTTCATTTAATGGTACACACCATAAATATTCACAACTCTTTTAAGGTAGTCAAATAATAATAATAAAACTACAACACTATTACATGGTTACTAACGGGTCATAATTCAATTAATTGGATCCAAAATGAATGGAGTTTAATAATTTAAAATAAATCCCCAATTAATTTATCTCAAATCATGGTCCGAACACCCAAAACTCAATTTTAAATTCTGTTATAAATTAAACTGAACACCAATCAGTCCATGAATTTTCATAAAATAAATAATCATCATTAAATTCTGAAATTGTTATCCAACATGCTAGACTCATATGGGAACAACATAAAAATTTCATAATTTTCTGAGATCGGAAACTATTTTTAAAAAATACAAAACCGAACTGTTTTCGCACAGAGTTTACACGACAATCAAATTCAAAAATTTGCTCAATTAAATTATACACTGGCTATTTAAAAAAAAAAATTGAGACATTACAAATGGAGTTCGGTTATGATTTAATTATTCTACTCTCTATAGGTTGTACAACTAATACAAACCCCATCTTCTTGTGTATCCCATATTTGAGTATTTGACCTCAATACATGTCTTGTTTGGCGCAATTTATGAGAGCTTATAATGTCTTTTTTGTTTAAAAAAAAAAAATTATATTTTAAGGGTTTGTACTAAGTCCCCGATTAAAATTTGCTTTTTTAGTTAGCTTTTTTGAGTTGGGACTTTTTTAGCTTGGGACTAAAAAGTTCGTTTGGTTTGGTTTTTTTGGCTTTTTTGAGAGAAAAAGTGAAATGATTATGATTTAAATGTAACATTTTGTATTATGGGCTTATTTAGTCTATTTTGTCTTTTGTGTTTTTTTAGCCAAACTAAATTAGCCAAACGAAAGCTAAAAATGTTCAGTGCAATTTTTGTTTACATTTTAAGGCACTGGGGCTATAAGTCTAAAAACTTATTCCAAATTATTATTATTTTTTCATTTTTTTTTCTCTATAAGAAGAATAATAATTTGAAAATTTATATTACCCATATTTATTTGTCTATATGTTCACCTATCTATTTGCCACTGATCATCGGTGACTTTTCTAACACTGGCTATTTTTTGGCGACTTTCCAGTGCTGGTGATGGGGGGCGATTGATACTAGCGTATGAGAATAGAGAAGGGAAGAAGAGATTTTTTTTTTAAAAAAATGGTACAAAGGTAAAAGTAAAATAAAAAAAAATTAAAGCAATGATTTATACTTCTCACTAATATATTTAGTTCATCATATTTTTAAAATCAAAACAAATCATTTTTTTTACTTACTTCTAAACATATAATGATAAAATTCAAATATTTAAAATAAAATTAATTATAATAATATAATAAACATCAGATTAATACATAAAAAATAATTTACGAAAGTTATTAATTTATGCGTTTGGATCATCTCCAAATGTTTGTAACTTTTGCAGAACGTGTGCCCAGAAGCTACCACACTGCAAGAGAAGCTTACCAATTTATTATGAAGATGACGTGTTTTGACTCTTTGGATGAAATCACCCAAACCACGTTCAGAATCTCAACCTCATAGCCATAACAATAATATTCTTGTGATAAAGCTCTACATGTTTGAAATTATCATTTGGTTATCCCTATTTTAAAAAGATTTGAGATTATTAAATTTACAGTCTTTATAGATGGATAATTTATGGGAAATTCTGATATACACACTCTTTAAAATGGTGCATCATATGCACCCCTAGATATGACATTTTTTTTCTTTAGTTATAACAAATTTTTTTCTTTAGTTATGACTCATGAATTTTTTAATTATGTCTCATATTGTATTTAGTTATGACATTTTTCTTTTATTTTTTTAGTTATGACTCAAAAAGTATAAAGTTATGCTATTTTCTTCTTAAGTTATAAGATGCATATAATACATACCTAGGTGTGTACCATAATGTTCTCCAAATTTATACTTGTTGAATAAATGGTTTCCAGATTTTCAGATCCCTTATAAATGGAAAAGAAGAATATCCAATTTCCTTTTAAAAGATGATATAAGAATACTTGTGTATTGCTATAGTTGTTTCTACTAATCTCATTACAATCTTCAAGCTTTATATTAATAAATGCAATTTGTTAAAATTCATTTACTAAACTGAGATTTAGATTCACAATCCAAAACAAAACAAAAACAAATAAAACAGAGATTTAAATTTCAAAAGTGCTTGAGACCTCCTTTTTTTGGAGACAAAAAAGAGGGTCTCAATCATTGTTGTTTAAATTTATAATGACAAATTTGCAGTACATCATTTGATGAAATTTATGATGTTATTTGTAATACAGAAAGTGAATCAAGCTTGTCATCGACTCTTCCTAACATATTAATCTCTTTCTCTTTCCCCTCTCTTTTATAGCTTCCATCATAAACCACTGCCTTTTTCCCTGCCTACCACCACCTCCCTCCCTATTCACCAAATCTCAAGTCACCATCAAACCCAAAATCACCACCACAAAATCATCACCACCAACATCAAATTTGAACCATTTTGGTAAGTTATACATAATCATTGAATGGAAAATAGCACCCCAGCAACATTGCTCTTTCAAATCAATATAAAAGAAGCCAACAATTTTTGGTGCTACAAGGTAGGTATATATTCAAGAAAAATAAAAATAAAAGCAACATAAAATAAAATAAATAAGATGACAATAAAGAGAGAAGCCACACCATATGTGTGTGGTTCGGTTACTACCATACACACATGGCACACAAAAGCCCCAAGCATACATCTCTCTTTTTATTGATTTTCACTCTTCAGTATTTATTCTTACAATGAAAATCCCTATATGAAAAGTATATTTAAGTAGGTAATAGAGAGGATTGGGTTTTATCTAATATCTAACATATCCTTACTAAACAAAATAGCTTTGCACTGTCTTTGAGGCTTGAGTTTTGCTAAGTGCACAAATTAGTGCTTGGAAAAATATGCAGAATAGAAAGGGATCAATTCTGTGCATTTTCATGGGCAACAATTCTGTGCACATAGGTGAGGCTCTACGGAATCTTTTGGGTGGATAACAATTGAGAAACAATGTGCATGGTTGGCCTAGATTGTGGATTGACATGCAAACATGCGATTGCCAATTTTACACTACGCATCACTACCTCCTCAACTTCAGGGGAGGGAGGTGAAAGACGTTGGTCCAACACATCCTTTAGTTGTATGTTCTCAACAGCTGGGGTCAGCAGGGACATGATGAAGTCTCCCGGATGCTTTCCTTTGATCACTTCCAGTGCCAACACACCAAAGCTATAGACATCACACTTTTCAGTTACCTTCATTGAGTAAGCAAGCTCTGCAGAAAAAGAGAGACATGGTATTGCACTTGTTTTGTTATGCTTTAGATTCTATGTCAATTTAGGAGAGCATAAAACTATGTTTACCTGGTGCAACATATCCGTATGTGCCTGCAAATGCACTCCAGTTAGAGGAATCTGGCTTCAAAAGCTTGGCAGTGCCAAAGTCTGAAACACGAGCCTCGTACTCCTCATCAATCAGAACATTGTTGCTGGAAATGTCTCGGTGAACAATGGGTGGTGTGCAATCATGGTGCATGTATGACAAAGCACTTGCCACACCTTTAATAACATTCACCCTCTTAGGCCAATCTAATTCTTTAGCTTCTTCGTCTTCGTTAAAAATTGTAGCCAAACTACCTCTTTCGAGGTACTCATAAACTAGAAAAGAATGTCGAGCATGTGAACAATACCCAAAAAGCTTCAGTATGTTTCGATGCTTAATTTCTGTCAATGCCCTTACCTCATTTAAGAAATCTTTCCTATCAGCCCTCTCCGATAACGGATGAAGTTTCTTCACAGCTACTATATTAGCTGATGGTAACTTCACTTTGTAGACAGTTCCATATCCTCCTTTTCCAATACAATATGTGGCATCAAAATCATTGGTAGCTTTTACAATGTCATTGTACATTGCTCTTCCATCGAATATTGATATCGATAACAAATCTTCTTTCGGGGGTTGGGTGTCACCCTCTTCAACTTGTGATTTTGTCTTTCTTGAATTGAACATGATGAGAAGTCCAATGAATGCACCTAGAAGTAAAAGTGCTCCACCAAGAGAGAGCACAATTACAAGAACAAGTGTCCTTTTTTGTAGGGTGTGTTTTTGCAATGCAGAAGGAACTTTGCAAGGCTGCAAGCCTTTGACATTTCCACACAGACCTTTGTTCCCTTGCAGTGCTTCTATTGATGCATTTATGAAGGCGTTGCTCATGGGAATAGGACCTTGTAACTGATTGTATGATATATCAATAAATGCCAAGCCACGCATATCTTCAAAACCCTTTGGAATGAGACCAGAGAGATTATTGTGGGAAAGGTTTAAATTCTCCAAACTCTGCAACTTTGTGATTTCCAATGGTATTTCCCCTGTGAGATTATTACTACTTAGATCCATCTCAGTCAGTTGAAATAACTTACCAATTTGTATTGGAATTTTTTGGCTGAACATGTTGTTGCTTAAGTTCAAGTAAAACAGCTTAAGATAGTTGTCCAGAATACCCGGTATTGACCCATTGAATCTATTTATGGATAGATCAAGATACGAAATCCCAGTTAGTGATTCAAGTTCTTGAGGTATACTACCGGAAAGTTGGTTATCAGCTAAAATCAACTTCTCCAGAGAGGTCAACTTCCCAAATTCCTTTGGAATCTCCCCAACTAAACGATTTGAAGACAGATCAAGTCGATGTAGTTGTATTGAATTTCCAAGTCCTAGGGGAATGCTACCGGTGATATTGTTCCTTGCTAAGTTTAGGTTTTCCAAATTTGGAAACCTTCCCCAGATTTCTGATAATTCACCATAAAATTTGTTGTTACTCAAATCTAGGTGGATCAGGTTTGGATAAGTGCCCAAATCTTCAGATATATTTCCAATTAATTGGTTTTCATCAAGACGGGCTCTGATTAAGCTTGAACAGTTTTTTAGACTTTTAGGGATTGTTCCTGTGAGCTGGTTGCGGTTGACACTGAAGTTTTGAAGTTTACCACCTTGGCAAAGCTCTGGGAGATTGCCAGAAAATTGGTTGTCATCAATTTCTAGTTTAAGCAAGTTTTTCAAATTGCCAAGTTCATTTGGAATGGGACCGGAAAATTTGTTGGAACGAAGGAAAAGAGTTTGTAAACTAGACAAATTACCTAATGAAGCAGGCTCTCAGACCTGAGTCTCATCGATTCTCGCTCAATTCCAAATAATTGAGGAACTTCAAATTTCCTAGCTCTTTAGGAATTGGACCAGAGAGTTGATTATTCCAAAGATAAAGGAGTGTTAGGGAGCTCAAATCACCAAAAGATGTTGGGATTGAGCCAGTAAGATTGTTGGTTTCGATGCTTAGGCTCTGGAGTGATTTCAATTTTCCTATCTCTCGGGGAATGGAACCAGATAGGTGATTGTTGAACAAGTACAACACAGTTAGCTTATTCAAGTTTCCAAGAGTGGCAGGGATGGGACCTATGAAATTGTTATTTTCCATGTAAAGCTCGACAAGATTGACAAGGTTTCTCATTTCAGGAGGGATGGAACCAGAAAAATCATTATCATTGAGATATAGACGAGCCAAGTTGCTTAAATTTCCTAAAGAAGCAGGAACGGACCTTGACTTTTTTTCCCTGTTCAAAAAAAATCTTTCCATGTGGCTATGACGTACTACGACTATGAAAGACTGTTTTTAAACAAAGCAAGCTCGGTAAGAGACTTTAACTGGCCTAACTCTTGAGGAATTGAGCCATTCAACCGATTATCGAACAAGTGAAGAGTTTCAAGATTTGTTAGCAGGCCAATTTTTGGTGGGATGTTTCCTGAGAATTGGTTGGTGGACAAATCAAGATAAATGAGTTTGGGGAGGGAGCCAACTCTATGTGGAATGGCACCAAAGAGATTATTCATGCTGAGATCGATATATGAAAGATTCGGAAATGATGAAAATGAAAAGTTGTCGAGCGTACCATTTACACTCGAATTTGTGAGGTTCAATGTATTGATGCTTCCATCGAAGTTGCAAGTAACTCCATACCAGCTGCATGGGCCGGTACTTGTTGAGATGTTATCATGAGGTGGAAGGACCCACGAAGTTAGCAGGGAATGGTTTGGACTTTGTAGGCTGGCTTTCCATGTGATGAGAGCATTAGCCTCTTGAACAGAAGCAGTAGCAACGTTAATGGTTGAAGAAAAGAGTGTAACAAACAAGACTAAAGAAATAAGGCAGAGTAGTTTCTCTATGCGTCCCATTGTTTTTTCTTTTTCTTTTTTTTTTGGCCTTTTGATGGATAACTAATGGGTTGTTCAAGGCTTTAATTTATACACAATTTTTTCCATGAGTCTGGTTGCCATATCAATCACCATAGACTTTGACTATGGAAGTTTTTTTAATTAGGCCCCACCCTCATATCATTTGTGGAGGGAAAATAATAGTCTCATTTGGTAGACCTGTGGGAAAGTGATTATAAATTATACCTTAACAGATTATAACTTATAACTGTGAATATAAGCTATTAACTTGTTTGGTGCAGCTGTGGGATTATGGATTTAAGTAGCAGAATAGTGTTTGGTTGATAAGCTGTAAAATAGTTTTTTACTGTATAATTGTCATTTTTGCCTTTATATGATATAAAAATGATAATTTTGTCATTTTTTTCAGTTTTAATTTAAAAAAATTATTTCATTAATGAAAGTTAATATAATTAGTATTAATTAATATCAACTAATATAAAAATTGATACATTTGATAAAAATGTAATGGAAGTATTATTGTAACAAATTTTTTCCATTATAAATTAATTAGTATCAATTAATACTAAAATTATTAATTAGTATCAATTAATATTAATAATTAATTTTTATTAGTATCCATTAATATTAATAATCAACAATTTTTATTAATTAGTATCAATTAATAATTAATTCATCACAAAAGTATACAATATTAATTTATTAACAATTAATACCAATTAATATTGATTTTTTTCTTTTTCTTCAAAAATATACATTTTTTTCTTTTTTTTAATTAATATTAATATTGATTTCTTTTTCCTTTTCTTCAATTTTTTTTCCAGGGTTTCAACACCATCGGCGAACAACCGTCGGTGGCTAGGTTTTCAACATAGATCAACGCAAATCACGATCATGATCGCGATCACAATGGCGATGGTGACAAACAACGTAGATAGAGAGATAGGGGGATGACGGTGGTTAGGGTTTCAAATCGCAATCACGATCGCAGAGAGAGAGAGAGAGAGAGATGGCAGTAGTTAGGTTTTAGATCGCAATCGCGATGGCGGTGGTGACGAGAGGTGACGATAGAGCAGATCGTGAGAGAGAGAGAGAGAAGAGATAATAGTTCGTGAGAGAGAGCTCTGGTTTGTGGGTCTCGCTTTAAAACCATGTTTATTTGTAGTGAAATGGCATGAGATTACTAATCTCAAGGGACTATCAATCCCCTCCCATGATGGAATTAGCATTCCGTGAGAGGGTTAAGATTACTAGTCCAACCCCATAGATTGGTTGCTAAATAACCATTTTGCCCCATATTTTATAAAACAAACAAAATAGCTTTGGAGGTGATAAGAATTTTTACATAATTTAAAATTTTAATTTCAACTAATTAATACCATCACATTAGTGCACAAATAAATACATTTTTACTTTATTTTTCTAACCTAACATCATCTCACTATTAATTTCATCATTCAATCTACTCATACTCTGAATGTAGACTTGCCCATTGGTCTTTAAAAATTTGAGGTCAAGAAATCAATGGTCCACCTTTTGATTATTGTTGATGCTCTTGTGGCTATAGTGGTAGTCTGAGTCCCAATCCAAGTCGAAGTCAGTAATTTTTTACATCAAAGAAAACTATTGGGATAGTGCTACGTGAGAGTTTGAAAATTTTCATTGACCAATTTTTTTATATCAAAGAAAACTATTGTGATAGTGCTATGTGAGACTTGGAAAATTTTCATTGACCAACTCACATTTTCTGCAAATTAGTTACGTAGCCGTGGAAAGAAATAAGTAACCGAAATTAAGCGAAGTCTTGTAGTTTTTAATAATAAATTGGTTGACAACTCCACATGAAGGAGTTACCAATAAAAATTACCAATAATTCTAAGTATTATTAAAATTTAATCATATTTTTATGAAAAATGTTAAAACAATCTTTAAGACTGTTGTAAGTATTGGAAATTGTGTAAAAGATATATAAAATTAATGTATATAAAATTGTGTAAAAGATATATAAACAATCTTTACGTTTTGTGTTCTTTACTGACAACCCTTAAAATTGTCCCTAGTAAGAACTTAATTTTATTATGAAAGTAAAGTATATTGTGTATATATAAAATGAATAAATGTTTATCTACATATTTTAATTTTAAATAAAATTTTGAATAGTTTTTTGTAAGTTCGTAATGCAACAGTAGGCATTACTCACAGATAGTAAAGTGGATCCAAAACTTGCTTGTGTTTCGATTTTTACTGATAGTCAAGTTTTGATAGATACGTTAAAGGATAGGTGTTCTCTTGATTGGAATACTAGTGTCTTTGGTTTCAATCTTTTAGAAATTGAGTTTTTTTTTTTTTTTGGGATTTTTCTTTTAGTAAATATTTTTAAAATTTTAAGTAATTTTTTTTTTTACTTTTTTAGATGCACGTTACTTAGATATATTTAAAAAGAAAAATGTTTATAAAAAAATATTTTAAAAAATCAATAAATATACAAGAATACGAAAAATGTACTGAATTCTCTCTTCTTTTTTTTTTCTTTTTTCTTACATTTTTGGTATATAGTGAACTTTTTAGAGTTTTTTTTTAAATATTTATTTTTGAAGTGTATTTATGTGAAGTGTATCTAAAAATTAAAAAAAATTACTTACAATATTTAAAAAAATTTAGTAAAAACATAAAAATACGAAAAATAAAAAAATTTCAATTTTATGAAAAATGAATCATGAAAACTCAAACCAAACAAACTAATTAATCTCATCGGAAAGCATTAAGCGGATGGGTACTTTGTTTAGCTTTTAGCTATACCCTTTGTCTATAATTAAGGCAGATTACGAACTGGCAAGAATGGCTAACTTCTGTAATATTTAGTACTTATATATTTTAGGGTGTGGTTCAATTGATTCTATCCTGTTAGGTTTTATTCTTGGTAACCTCGTTTGACAAAACTCCTTTCAGTTGTATTTGTTTTCACACTTTTATTTCAGTGAGGCTATGAGTTTATTAGATGTGAATCCAACCCAAATTGTGTCTTGTAAAGAAGTTTGTGATGTTAATACCTTCAAGATTGCCACTTCGCTGATTATGATGGGGGTCGAGCTGCCCGGTCAGCTCGCGGCCGAAGCAAATTGCAAAATTGCATTCAAAATTGCATGTCCGCCCATGTTCACTCGAGCCAAGGAGTTCTCGCTCGAGCTAAGGATTGCGTCCATACAAAAACCTGAAAGAGTTGATTGCTTGCTCGAGCCAAGGATTCGTCACTCGAGCCAAGATACTAGTAGAAATCACGAAAGTTAAGCTCCTCGATCGAGCAAGGGAAGCTTCGCTCGAGCGAGCTTCAAAATCCGGATTTCTATAGGAGTTGGTTTTCTTCCAAAACTAGGATTACTTTGGTTTTCTATAAATAGTTGGTTTTCTCCCAAATCTAAGTGAACTTCTCCAGATCTTCTTTTTGGTTCTTAAGGTTTATATCTGAGGATATTTTGTTAGTTTTCTTTGATGTTTTATTGAGTATTCAACTCATGGTTTAAAGAGAGTACATCAAAGGTTTTGTTTGTTATACACAAGAGAGAGAGAGAGAGTTGCTCTTCGGTGGATTCTGAAGAATTCGAGCCTGAAGCTTCGGTGGATTCTGGAGTGGCTCATCGTAAAGACAATTCTGAGGTGAAGACGGGGTTGGAAGAGGCACATAGAGGTTGGTTCAATTAGGCGTGGATTCGCTAGGTAATTGAGAGTATACCTGTGTAATTCCTTTAAATCTTCTTAGTGGATTGTTTTGTGGCTGTTGCCCGTGATTTTTTAATCACAGTTGGAGGTGTCCAATTGTGGTTTTTTCACGTTAAAATCGTTGTGTTGATTTGTTTTGATTGTTTGATTGAGATTGTTATATACTGCTTAAAATTGTTACATAATCACAAATCAATATCTAGGGGATTTCTAGATTTTTCATACCAAAAAAAAAATATAAAAAAAAATAGTGAGAGGATCACTTTTGGGTTGATGTCAAAATTTAAGAAATATATTTCCTTGTGATCACTGGGAGTAGTGGCTCAATAGGGGCTGTGATGGCAGTCAGTGTGCACACTTTTAGCCTTTGGTTTGTTGAAGAAACAAGGCTACCTGGTGTGGTCTCTCGGTTTAGAAAAAAAAATAAAAAGAAAAAAAAAAGAAAGAAGAAGGAAGATGGCCTCTTGATCCAGAGAGAGAGTAGGTGCGGCGGCTGTGCAAAAATTTGGTGAGGCTTAGGGTTTTGGCCCCTTTCTTTAAATAGAAAAGAGGGAGCATTATTTATTTTAATTGGTCTGCTGTGTGCCAAATAGCAAAACGCGAGCCTTGTGTGCTATTTGTTAAAAAAAAATGGATGCTTTGTTATTATTTGCTTGGTTGGCATGAAATGCTGGATAATTTTCAGTGATTCTATGCAGAAACCTCACGCTGTACTTTGATCTAAACTTGGCCCTGCTAGGGTGACTAACGAGTTCTACTGATACCTTGGTGGTAGGTCATTTCTTTTAGATTGGGTTAAATCAGGTCAGCAACCGACTACCTCAAGACTTAGGCCCGTGAATACTGTGATGACATCTCCGAATATCTTTTTTTCCCTGTTCAAAAAAAATCTTTCCATGTGGCTATGACGTACTACGACTATAATACTTAAAAGAGGAGCTTGGGGTGTTAACTTCAAAAATAATAATGATAAGTAAATTCGATTTCAATAATAAATATATATATATATATATATATTTTTTTTTTCATTTTAATAGCAAGTAAGATCATATTATCATGTTGTGTGCCATAAGTAAAGATCAATTCTAGTAACAGGTAGAGTAACCAAAAATCACATCCTCTTGAATTGTGGATATAAGTGGTAATATTGTCTTGTCTCGTTGATCGAATACTCTGAGGCCTTATTTAGCAGGATTATTAGTGAAATAATTAATAATTTTATAAATTAGTGTAACATTAGTTATTCAATTAAATTAGTGAGATAATCATTTATTATTTATGTATTTATTTATTTATTTTATTTCATACTTG